GTTAGATTGTTTTTTGTTTTGGAAGCTCAAATGCTCCCCGCTGCCTCCCCCCAGCACCTCCTCCTCGTCCTTCTCTTCCAGAGCTCCATAACGAACAAAATAATCAAACACACACACACACAATGTGCGCATGCATCCTATACCAAAAAAGAAAGGGAAACAACATACACAGCGTTTCCTCGCTCCGAGGGCGCCAAACACTGTGGATTCTTGGTTGTCTTGCTTTGCAACAAGGAGGAGGAAACGAAAGGAGGAGAAGGAAGGGGGAACGAGGAAGGGGGAGAAGGAGGAGGCGCTGGAGGGAGGCCGCGGGGAGCACTGGAGCTTCCAAAACCCAGAAAAAAAAACAACCAACAATACACAATGTGTCCTTGCATCCTATACCAACAAAAACAATACATACGCATGGTGTCCTTGCTTGTCAGACCTAAACAACCAAAACAAAAGCGCAGGGTTTCCTTGCCTCGAAGGCGCGAAACATTGTGTATGTTTGGTTTTTCTTGGTCTGAGGCGCACGGAAGGGTGCTGAGAGGGAGGCCAGCGCGAGCATTCGGGCCTGCAAAACAACATATAAAACAACACAACCAACAGTACACAGGGTTTCCTTCAGGAGGAGGAAGGGGAGGAGGAGGAGGAGGAAGAGGAGGAGGAGGAGGAGGAGAACGAGGAGGAGGGGGGAAGAGAGATCGAGGAGGAGGAGGAGGAGGAGGAGGAGAAGGAGGAGGACGATGAGGAGGAGGAGAAAAAGGAGGAGGAGGAAGACGAGGAGGAGGACGAGGAGGTCTTCAGCCTGAAAAGACAGCCAGTCCTGCGGGAACTGGGCCCTTGGCCCCATAGGGCCACCTTGTGACCCAGGACCGGCCCTGCCTCCAGAGCTGGGTGCCTGACAGGCCGGGGGAAGATGAAGCCAAGGCGAGGATCCAATCGGGTGAGGATACAGCAAGAATCTCTGAGAGCCAGCTGCTCTGGACGAAGCCAGGGCGAAGGCCAACTCGGGTGAAGACACATCGAGATCCTCGGAGACCCGGCTACGCTGGAGGACGCCTCGGGCGCCGCGGCCTTCCTGTGGAGCGTTCCGGGACGCTCTGTGAGCGTTCAAGAACGCTCCGAGAGCGGATTTGTCCTCGTCCTGTCCCCGCCCGACGAGGGCCCGCGGAGGGCCTGGGGAAGCAAAGAGCGACGGTGCCCAGGAGGAGGAAAGAGAGGAGGAGGAGGAGAAGGAGGAGGAGGAGGAGGAAAGGGAGGAGGGGGAGGAGGCGGAGGAGGAGGAGGGGGGGGAGGAGGGGGAGGAGGAGGAGGAGGAGGATGAGGAGGAGTGAAGGAGGAGGAGGAGGAGGAGGAGGAGGAGGAGGAGGAGGAGGAGGAGGGAGGAGGAGGAGGAGGAGGAGGAGGAGGAGGGAGAGGAGGAGGAGGGAGGAGGAGGGGGGGAGGAGGAGGAGAGGAGGAGGAGGAGGAGGAGGAGGAGAGGAGGAGGAGGAGGAGGAGGGGAGGAGGAGGAGGGAGGAGGAGGAGGAGGGGAGGAGGAGGGAGAGGAGGGGTGGGAGGGAGGAGGAGGAGGAGGAGGAGGAGGAGGAGGAGGAGGAGGAGGAGGAGGAGGACCGTGCCCTTTCTTGTGAGGTCCCGAGGGTGCAGCGGGCGCCGCGGCTTGTGCAGAGCGCTGCGCGCTGAGAGCGTCCTGGAGGGTTCTGGAGCGGTTCCTCTGCAGCCCAGCGGCGGCGAGCGAGGGGACACGAGAAGGAGAAGGCCCTCTCAAAAGGCGGGCCCGCCCCTTCTCAATCCCGCCCTCGGGCTCGCCGCCGATCATGGCGAGGTCTGGAGGGTGCATCGGGCACCGCGGCCAGTTCGGAGCGCTACGCTCTGAGAGGGTCCTGGGGAGCTCTGGAGCACCTTATCTGCACCCTCCACTGGCACCCCTGAGCAGCACAAAAGCCTCCCGTACTGTACGAGGCGAACCGAGCTCAGTCTGGCGCCGGCGCACTCGCGCGCGACCGCCGCGGGGCACGCGGGCACCCTCGACACGAGGCGTCGGGACATCCTGCGCGATCCGACGCCGCTGGCGCGCCCGCGCCCCTGCGGCGAAAGGAGGCCGCAAGCGGGGGATGCAGCGAAGCGGCACCTGTCGCCCCCGTGGGCGGCCCCGGAGGGGGGCCCGTGGAGCCCGAGGGCAGCGGGCGGAGCTCGGGGCAGGACCCGCCTCGCTCCGGGCGGAGGCCAGCACGGAGAGCGAGGGCAGCGGCTCCCCTCGTTGCCGTGGACGGCCCACGGGGGCCCGTGGAGGGCCCCCGCGGGGCCCGGGAGCAGCGAAAGGGCTCCAGGCGGGAGGCCTGGCAGCAACATGACCCCGATGACCCCTTTGCACGGGGTTCCAGGTCTCAGGAGCGCCCGAAGACGTCAGGGACAGGGGGGTCCTCTCTGCAGATGTATCGTGCCACGCCGCCCATGTTCATGATCCCTGCTGCAAAGGCGGGGACCTCAGCAAGGCCACGCCGTCATCGTGTTATGAGGGTTGGGGTTAGGTCGGGCACGTCCCCCTACAGGCGGACTTTGCAAACAATCGCCCCCTGATTTGTTTTTTGACTACTTTTTGAATATTCCTCCTCTAGAGGGACACGCCTGACTTAAGGTTAGAGGATCTTGTACCTCGATGACAGGACCCGTCCCTCTCAGGGCAACGCTCCTCTACGCCCTGCAGTCGGCGCTGGGCTCCGCCAGCGAGGCCGCCGAGCGAGGCGGCAACTGCGGCGGGGCCGCGCGCGCACGAACGGGCTGTGCCGCACCGCGTGCGGGTGGCAGCAAGAGTTAGGTCGGGCAGTGTTGAAGGGGCCCCAGGACACACAAATAAATACACACAAATAAAAAGATTCCCCATATTTCCCTATATTTTCTGGGTTTTTGTCTTCCCCCCCACTTCCCGTATTTTCCCATATTTTCCTGGGAATCGACGATTAATTGTGTCTGTGCGTTTTTTCCTCTCCTGAAATGTCTGTGTCCACATCCGGTGCGTCATGAGGTCTCGGGCCCTCTCCCCCAAAAGCATGCTTTTTGGCCGGCGGGGCGAGAGCGAACCTCCTCCGCTGAAAGCTAGGCGGGCCACGCACAGCTTTCATTAGGGAGACGGGGCACAGGAGGGCGGGGCCACCTCTCCCCCAGAAACGTGAGGCGCGCACTGGAGATGGAGCAGTTCACAACTGGCCCCTTCGAAGGGCAAGATTGTCACTACAGTCGGGGTGGATTGGAGAGGACACGCGAGAGGACACAAGACTCCTCCGATGACCACAGTGCCAATGGAGCGTAGAGGGCACGGGTCGCGAAACATAGGACACAAGGGCACCCTTGCTTGGGCAGGGTCGACCTACTGATCAAACTCGACTGTAATCCATACTCCAGATTTCGTAATAAAAGGGAGGGGGTCTCAACCCTCCCGGACGAGAAAAGTTTTAGACCCCCCCCCGTGGGAGAACCCTCCAAAACATCGTCCCCAGACCCCCCCAGGCCCTCCAAGATAGCCTGGAAGAGACCCCCCCCGAAATGAGACCCCCCTCCCTTTACTACGAAATCTGGAGTATCCGGTGCGCCTCGGCCCTGCGCCGCCCCCTTCCGAGAACCGTCCGAGAGGCACAGCGGCATGGACAGCAGCATCGCCCGCGAGAGGGAGGGGGGGGCCGGCAGGCGCGCAGGCTCCCGGAGAGGGCACGGGGAGGGCAACTGCCCTCCTCCTCCTCCTCCTCCTCCCCTCCTCCTCCTCCTCCTCCCCTCCTCTCCTCCCCCTCCTCCTCCTCCTCCCTCCTCTCCCTCCCTCCTCCTCCTCCTCCCTCCTCTTCCTCCTCCTCCTCCCCTCCTCCTCCTCCTCCCCCTCCTCCTCCTCCTCCCCCTCCTCCCCCTCCCCCTCCCCCTCCCCCTCCCCCTCCAAGGCCGGGCCCACGGCGACGCGGCGTCACGGCGGTGCCGGGCAGCGGACATGTGCGGCACAGCGCGGGCCGTCCCGTCTGCGAAGGGATCGAGCGAGCGCGACACAGTTCTCGTCGGCGGCGAGGCACAGGCCATCCGCTCCGGCGCGGGGCTGATCGGGGCAGGCGGGAGGCGGATCGTCCAGCGCGCAAGAGAAGAAGGCGAGCCCGACGCAGCGAACTGTAGGGAAGCGCGCGCCGCGCGATTCCACACCACCGAGACCTGCATCGCCGTTACCTGCACTGCGGTTGGCCCGTCTGCGGAGCCCGGGCAGTCGCCCGGGGCGAGTTGGTCGAGGGAGCGCCCGAGGAGGGGCAAAGTTACAGGCCGCTCGTCCCCGCTCGCAGCGCGAAGAGCCGTCGCGTCCGACCAACCCCAACGCAGAAGGGAAGCTGAGCTGGATCCAGCCGCGGGACTGGGGTCAGCAGCATCAAGCAGCAAAAAGAGACTCGCGAACGGGCAAGGGTCCTGCACGCTCCGGGTCAGTCCTCGCTCAGCGAGGTGACTGAGGGGCAGGCCCCGTTGTCGCGGCGCTGCGCGGCACCAGCTCGTCACAGGCAGGCCAAAGCCTCTCCCGCGTCTGCCGCCTCCGACTGGGGGCCCAAGAACCCCTCCGCGGCATGGCTGCAGCCTGGCCCCCCCGCCCGAGCAAACACGCGATGCACCTCCGATCCAAGGGCACGGGCAGAGCTCTCTGGCCCCGTCGCGCGCCCAGGGCACCGCAGTCAGAGCGAGGTGCCACACCTCCACTTGTGCATCCATCATTGCCTGCCTGTCCCCAGCCCGCCAGAGCTGACCTCCAGACCATACGCAATCCTGGAAGGTGTGCTGTGGGGGCCCGGGTCTCCTGTGGCATGCTCACTGCTCTCTTCGCGCCGCAGCTGCAAATAAACAGGCGATGCCTCGCCGAGGAGAGAGAGAAAGAGAGAGAGAGAGAGAGAGAAAGCAAACACAAACACAAAGAGAGAGAAAGAGAGAGAGAGAGAGAGAGAGAGCGAGAGAGACGGCTAGCCAAGGACAAGCCGAATGCCCCCCCCCAACAAAAAAAAAACAGGGTCTCCTCCTTGAAGAAGAACGCGCACGGCTTGCACTTGCCAGACCTGGAGAGGGTTGTGAATCTGTGTGCCATCACTCTGACCTTTTTGTTGCCCACAGCCCCGCGAGGAAAGCAGACACGATGCTGCAATTGATTGGGGCATGCAATACATGAACAGCTCGCCACTGCGGTGAGCCCACTCGATCGAGCGCCCGACTCGTCCTGCTCCGCAAGCCCCAACAAAACCTCATACGATCCAGCTGGACACTGACCCGGTAAGCTTGTTCTTGGTCAGAGCAAAAGGGATCGAACGGTCATTCACTCTCCATGGGCGCGTGGCTGAAGAGGCGTTCCGCGGTGCGGAATGTTGTTGTTGCTGTTGTTGTTGTTGTTGAACATTATTACTTCTAAAGAATAATTATTGTTGGGGCCCCTGGTGCGCGGCCCCCTCGCCGCGCCTTGGCCGCAGCCATGTTTTCATCATTTTCGTGAGGAGGTCTCAGGCAAAACGGGTTGGTCCGGATCCGGTTGTTTTGTTACGGGCGGTTTTCCCTTGCAAAAAAAAGCTGAAGTGGACATTTCTTGTTCTAACATAACCAAACTTCAAGAATCCCTTGCAAAAAATAAGGTAAAGTGGACATTCGCGCGCGCAAGGCGAAATCTTTCCAAAACCTTAGTTTTCGTAGCGGTTTTAACATAAAAACATCAAAAAAAAACCAATGGTATTTCAAAAAAAAAAAAGTGTCAAAATTTCATCCCGCGCGCTCTTGCGGATTCGTAGGAAACCCAACACTGTTTAAACATTTCTGTCAAACGGGCTTTTGCGAGCAACTTTTTCTAACTTCTGCAACAACGGTTGCGCACCTGCCAGGGCCATCATCCTTGTCAAATAGTACCATGCGGGACACATTCGTTTTTTCTTCGCGCGCGCACGCCGTCGTCGTCGGCCGCGGGGCCCTGAATAGTAGCCACGGTCGTCCGCATGCCACGAAGTGAAGTGTCCGAACGTCATAGGGCGGGAAGCTGGGTGTGGGTGGTGGCGAAGAGTCGTTTGGAAATTTGGTAGAGCTTGAACCGGCCCCCCCACAAAGTGGGGGTATTGCCCGCCTCCTATGAAAACCCTGGCGCTGGTGAGAACGGAGTGTCCCCACGTGCTAGTAATTGTTGTTGTTGTTGTTGTTGTTGTTGTTGTTGTTGTTGTTGTTGAACTCTCATTGCTGAAGAATTATTATTGCTGATCCCCCCACCGGCGCAAATGGTTTTTCTCAATCAAAGTGTGCCCCCTCGACGCTCGCACCCAGTTTTTTGACAGGGAAACTTTTCCTGCTCAAACTGGGCCCCTGGCCCCCGGGTTACAACAACAACGGCTCCCGCCTGAGACGCCCTCGCAATTTAGCTAGGACCCCCGCTCCGGCCCGAGACTTCCTCGCATTTTATTCCGGAATCGCGCTCTCGCGTGGGATTTCTTTTATAATTGATTCAGAAATCGCTCTCCCGGCGCTCTGGAGTCGCGTTCTCGCTGGGAACTTGCTTGCAATTTACTGACGAAGCGCCCTTTGCGTTCGAATTTCTTGCAATTTACTCAAGCGCCGGGCTCCCGACACCCAGGCACCCAAGAGTCGCGCTCACGCTTAGGACCCCCTCACAGATTACCTAGGAATCGGGATCTCGCTGCCCTTCGTGGCCCCGTTGCAGCCCTTCGTGGCCCCCTCGCTTTGCCCCGTTGCAGCCCTTCGTGGCCCCCTCGCTGCCCTTCGTGGCCCCGTTGCAGCCCCTCGTGGCCTCCTCGCTGCCCTTCCGTAGCCCCTTTGCAGCCCTTCGTGGCACCCTCGCTTTGTTTTGTGGCCCCATTGCGGCCCCTCGTGCCCCCTTCGCTGCCCTTCGTGGCCCCTTGCAGCCCTTCGTGGCCCCGCTGTCGCCCTTCGTGGCCCCCTCGCTGCCCTTCGTGGCCCCGTTGCAGCCCTTCGTGGCCCCCTCGCTGCCCTTCGTGGCCCATATATGTATGCCCTTCGTGGCCCCCGCTCGCTCGCGCACGTGATGGCCCCATATGCATGCTCTTTGTGGCCCCGCTGTCGCCTTTCGTGGCCCCCTCGCTGCCCTTCGTGGCCCCGTTGCTGCCCTCAGTGGCGCCGTCCTTGCCCTCCGCGGCCCAACATGCGTATGCCCTTCGTGGCCCCCGCTCGTTCGCGCCCGTTGTGGCCCCATGTGCATGCCCTTCGTGGTGTCGCCGTCGCCGTTTGTGGCCCCTCACTGTCCTGCGTGGCCCAGTTGCTACCCTCAGTGGCCCCATCGTTGCCTTCTGCGTGCTCGCATTATCTGCCCCTCGTGGCCCCCGCTCGTTCGCGCTCTTCGTGGCCCCTCGCGCATTCCCTTCGTGTCCCCGCTGTCGCCCTTCGTGGCCTACTTCGTGACCTTCGTGGCTTTGCTGTCGTTCTCTCTCGCTCTCGCTTTCGCTCGTCGTCGCCGTCGTCGTCGTTGTCGTTGATGTTGTCGTCGTCGTCGTCGTCGTCGTCGTCGTCGTCGTCGTCGTCGTGGTCGGTCTTTTGTCCGTCCCTCTTGGGGTCGGGTCGACGGTCCGCGGCCGCCCCGCCGATCAGCGCTGCCGCTGGCCAGGCCGACGGTCCGCGGCCGCCCCGCTGCTTGCCGGGGCCCGGCCTGCAGGGAAGAAAGGTATACCCCCCAAAAGGGGTTCGATCGAAGACGAAGAGGGCGGGTATCGAGGGTTTGGGCAAGACGCGTTATTGGACACTCGAGCAGATACGGGCGAACGGTCTTAAAATGATTGTTGTTGTTGTTGTCGTCCTCGCCCGCGACCCATTCGCAACCCACCTACGACCCACCCCGCGCCCACCAACTCACTCCCATCCGTAACAGCGGGGTATTACACTATTTCCCCATTGCGCTCGCTATCGCGGGGCGGGCTACGTCAGGGCGGAGGTTCGCTGCGACGCGCGCGCACCAGCATGTGGGAGGGGGGTGCCAGGCCCCCGCCTGCGTACGATCGTCACCGTTACCCGGAGGGGGGGTGGCCGGGATAGCAACCGTTACGCGCCAGAGGGCAACTGCAACACACAATCTCGGTGTGACGGCTGTTGGCCGACTCCGAGAACGAGCTCGACATTTCCTCGAGGGCAGGATCTGAGCAGTCAAGCGCTGGAAGTGCGAACCGCTTGCAAACTCGAAAATTCGCGCATCGATTGAAGAGCGGATGTGGAAGCCTGCGTGGGTCGTCAGGATAGTCACCAAAAAGCCTGTTCGGCCAACTCCAATCAGGCCTTACCGCCTTAAAGGCGGCTGGTGGGCCCAAGGAAAGGCTTCGGAAAACCTCGGGGGCCCTTTGGAGCCGTCTTCGAACTATCTTAAGCCGTCGGTGGGGTCCCTTTTTAGAGACACGATGACAATACGGCGTGGTCGTATCACTCACGAGCCTGGCACGCAGAACTCACCTTGACAAACATTGCGCTCTTCCCTCCCATTCCATCTCTACTCTCCTCGCTTCCTCTTCTCTGTCCCTGTCCTGTCGTCTTGGGCAACATTTAGGAAGACTATTCCCGGATAGCTCGTAGAGAGCTAAGTGGGTTTCAGATTAGAAGCCGGAGCCGCGGGGTAGCCCCAGAGCTCGTCCTGGCTTCTGGCAGGAATCCCCGCTGAATCTTCTGTGAGCCTGCAGCGTGTCCCGGCAGGCCTTTTCTAAGCGTCTCCCAATACGTGTGCCCAGAAATTCTCCTGAAGCTCCTTCGGAAGATCCTTCCGGGAGCTTTCAGAGCTCTTTCGGGACCCCTTCGGATGGCCTTCTGGCGCTCCGCTACCCGGGCTTGGGATTCCACAAGTCGTACAGTCGTGCAGGCTATTCGGAATTGACCCCAGGCCCTTCGTCCAGAACTCCGTGTGGGGGGCCATCTAAAACCCTTGTTAGCTTCTTGCAACAGTTGCGTGAAGATCCAAAAACCCGTGTCTTCTTGAGAAAATTTTGGCATGAGACCGTGAGCGCAGTCTGGGTTTGCACCTCCTCGGGGCGTCTCGCAAGCCTGCCTGGTCATGTCGCGTGTCTTACGGACCAGGAAGGTCCGAAGAGGGCTTCAGGACAGTCCAACAGGCCCCGATAAGGCCAATAGCGCTCCGAGACGACCCAAGGCAGCCTCCAGACGGCCGAAGGGGCCTTCATCACGACCCACGAGGGCTCAATGATGACCTCCAAGACAACTTCGGTGATTCCATACATGTGGTTACATGGATCTAAGGTCCTCGCCTGCTCAAGCTTCAGGACGACCGAGACGGCCGACGAGACTCCCCAAGCTCGCCGCAAGACGGTCAAAGAGAGTGCCTCAAGACGGCCAAAGAGTGCCCCGAGAGGTCCCCAAGAGACTTCCACTAGGCCCTCAAGAGGCCTCCAAGAGGCCCCTGAGAGGAACGCAACAGGTATCCAAGATGCCTCTGGCCTACAAGCCCAGGGAGACTGGCGGGATAGGCCGAAGGCCACTAGATGTTCAGCACCATTCTGGCTGTCACTCAGCCAAATCCTCTACCACTGCAACTTATGATTCCCTTCATCAGTTGAGTCGAACAAAGTCTCTCTGCACAATGCCGTTTGTTGGGCGGAGCCACCTGTGTGCAGCGGAGCCTTCAGTCGGACATTCTGGTGGTCCCAAATCTTGCAGCTGCTTGCCTCAAGGGCTGTGTAACCAGTCGGACGCATGATGTGGCAGGTGCGCAATGATTCGCAAAGAGCGAGACTGGATTGAACACATTGGAACAATACGAGAAGAACACAACTACCATGACCGATGCTGTCATGGACTCGCCGCAGCGGTCCGCACAAACTTACCCACGGAGGTGAAGTCAAAAGCCCCCCGCTGTGATCCCAAGCCGAGTCTGCTCGGACTTCAGGACTGCCCCTATCCCAAAACATGCCCACCCCGACACGCATGGCCAGTAACTACTACGATGGCCAATGGCGGTGCGCTTGTTGGCCTGAGAACGCAACATCGCAAGGAACTCGACAACTCACCACAGCAGAAGAGACGGGTATACACTGTCTGAGCTTGTCTGTGTGAAACAGAAGAGCAGGATCTCGCGCATTCGTCCTTATGCCCCTGCCTCCACTCCATCCCCCCGGCTCCTTTCCTCATTGGTCGCCTTCTTCGCAACCCTCAACCATTTTTATGTGAGCCATCTCTGCTCCCAAACAAATTCCTGTATGACTTGTTCTGCCCTCCAGTCCCTTTTCGAGCACTTTACCATTGGAGGCGGCCGAAAGGTCTGAGCTGGGTGAGCCGAGACAGATTCCGTCAAGAAGGGGAGGGATGACGGCAAATTCGCTCAACATCTGTCCCCCGACCCCTCCCAGGGTCGAAATTAGCAAGTCGGTCGAGCCGCGTCCAGCCGTGACGACGAGGGGAGCCCTTATCCTCACTTCATCTGCTGGCAGGAACCAGTGATGGCAAAAGGAAGAATGTGTCTGGGCGAAGGACCCAACCATATGCAGCTGCGAACATCGGAAGGCATGTGAGACGACGGAGGGGAGCCACGAGACGTGTAATGGGTGTGCCGAAATGGGCGGGCCACCATGCGGACGCTGCGGCGGAGCTTCATATGGGGCCACGGCACGGATGAGAGGTGTGTCGACATGTGTGCGGTGCCGCCATGCGGACGCTGCCACTGGGGCCTTCGGCAGAGCTCCATATGGGGCCACGAATCGTGTAAAGGGTGTGCCGAAATGGATGGGAAACCGCATGCGAAACCCTCTCCCGTGGGCTTCGGTGGAATCCCCTGTGGGGCCACGAAGAAGTCGATGGGTGCGGAGAACCACGGGCAAACTCCGCCCTGGGGGGCTCTGGTGGTGCTCTCTTTGGGGGCAGGAAGCGTGTGAGGGGCGTGGGGCACCGGATGCGAAACCCCGTCTTGGGGGCTTCGGTGGAGCCCCCCTATGGGGCCACGAAGCGCGTGCAGGTCGTGGGGAACCACATGCAAAGACCCCTCCTGGAGGCTTCGGCGGAGCTCCCTGTGGGGCCACGAAACGTGTGAAGGGGGTGTGCCGAAATGTGCATGCGGAGGGCAGAGGCAGGGATGGAAGGAGGGAGGGAGGAGCGGAGAGGAGAGGAGAGGAGAGGAGATGAGAGGGGAGAGGAGAGGAGGAGAGGGGACGCGGGCCGATGTCTTTTCAAAACGAAGGCCCAGTGCCGCAGGACGGTTGGGAAAAGCTGAGTCATCATACACTGTCGGAGCTCCGCACGGATTTTATGGATCGGCACTGGACCACCCTCCCTGGTGCGCCCCGCGTGCCAGGGGCGGCGCCAGAGGCGCCGCCAGGGGGCTCGACGCAGATCCGAGACGTCCGCGCTGAGGTCCGACTGTTTCTGGCTCTGCAGGTATTCCGCTTCGAACCTCAGCCCCCCAGCCGGCTCCCATTGCACGGGGAGGGCACTGACCTAGGAACCGCTGAACACGGAACCCATGATCTGAAAGCCGATGGGCCACGAACTGAGGCGTGGCCATGGATGGCACCAGCGACCTCATCGGACAAGGACTCCACCAGGGTCTAACGCCTCCTGGGCACATTCCTTGCCTTCGAGCGTCGCAAAAAAACGGATCTGAGGCAAGATGGCGAAGCGACCTTTTACGCGGTGGCTCACGCGGGCCGCCAGCGCGGCGCGCCGCGCCACATTTGAAGCGAGGGCGCTCACGCGCTCAGACTTCGGTGGCAACTCGTGTTCATGGAAGCCTCCCATACCATCTTGTCGGCTCTTGCGAATCGACGCTTGTCGACGCTGTATTGACGCTCATCGACGCTAGATCGACGCTAATAGACGCTAACCGACGCTAAACCGGCGCTTCCTCATCGACTCCCAGGCGCATATCGACGCTCATTGACGCTGAAGACAAAACTGGCGAGGGTACACGAGGCTCCCATGATTTGCTGCCGAAGCGGACGACCCCGTTTCTGCCTGCGCCGCTCCGCACGGCCGCCTCCTCCTCCTCTGCCTCCTCCCCCTCCTCCTCTTCCTCCTCCTCCTCCTCCTCCTCCTCTGCCTCCTCCTCCTCCTCCTCCTCCTCCCCTCCTCCTCCTCCTCCTCCTCCTCCTCCTCCTCCTCCTCCTCCTCCTCCTCCTCCTCCTCCTCCTCCTCCTCCTCCTCCTCCTCCTCCCCCTCCCCTGCCGCACGGTCGCCTTCTGCGCGTGCAGCCCGCGGCCGCCGCCCCTGCAGGCACGAATCGATGGTGCTGCAGTCGGACGCGGCCTCGCACCCTGCGGCGCCCACCTGGCGGCGACGTGTTCTCCGAGAACGGAGGCCCCCCAAAGGTCACGCAGCCTCGCTTCCATCTCGGGGATGGACAGGCCCCCCTCTAGTGAAGCGTGGTTTGGCGAGAGCGACCTGAGGCCCAAACCTGGCGGGCGCAAGCCTGGAAAATAACGGCCACGGCGCCCTCTCGAGAACCGAAAACGGACAAATCACTAATCGACGTGTCACTGTTGGGGGTTCTACCTCCGACTATCACAGGGGGGGCAATGGCCGGAACCGTGAACGAAGATTTGCCCGAGTGAAGCCGGAACTGGCGCCCGAAATTCACCAAACGCGCCTGAGTGCGACCGAACTGCGTCGTCGCCAGTGGCCGCCACCGCCATACCCGTCTGCGGCGTCATCTGGGCCGCCCGCGGGGCCCCACCCGAGGGGGCCCTCGAGGGCCGTCGTCGAAGGCCGTCGTCGGCGGCAGTCGGCGTCGTCGTCGGCGTCGTCGTCACCTCTGCGTCGTCGTCGTCGGCGTTCGTTGGCGTCGTCGTCGTCGTCGGCGGTCGTCGTCGGCGTCGGCGTCGTCGTCGGCGTCGTCGGCATCGTCGTCGTCGGCGTCGGTGTCGTCGTCGGCGTCGTCGGCGGCGTCGTCGCCGGCACTCCGCCGGGGCCTCGGACGCGCTCGTCTGCCGGCACTCCGCCTCCCAGCGGGGAGGTCCGAGGCCTCGGTCGGGCGAGAGCCGCCCTCTCGGGCGGCTCGGGCGCGCGCGGGCGGGAGGGAGGAGGAGAAGAAGGAGAAGGAGGAGGAGGAGGAGGAGGAGGAGGAGGAGGAGGAGGAGGAGGAAAGGAGGAGGAGGGCGAGGAGGAGGAAAGGAGGAGGAGGGGGAGGGGGAGGGGGAGGAGGAGGAGGAGGAGGAGGAGGAGGAGGAGGAGGAGAAACGCAGCAGCAGTAGGAGATGGAGGCCCTCCGCCGCCAACGTCGTCGTCGTCGTCGAAGGAAAGAGGAGGAGGAGGAGGAGGAGGAGGAAGAAGAAGAACAGACCCGAAGGGGAGCGCACAGCACTAAACTGGAATAAAGCAAGGCTAAATTCCAAAAACTTGGGGGGGGGGATCGAACCCCAGTAAAACGAAAAACTTAGCAACGGGACCTGGCCGCTGCGGCCTGTTCCCTGAGACGAATCCTCTCACACAAGGCTGACATACGCTGCTCGTAGGAGGGGGCCGTCAGCGAGCTGGAGTGTGAGGTTCGGACCACGGTGGGAGCATCTGGCTCAGGAGGGGCGGCGGAAAGGCCAAGCCTCACGAGCGGAACCGCACGATCAAGGGCAGCCCGAACTCTCGGGTTGGGGCAATATCCCTTCCTGCAAATCGCCAGAATCTCCAAACCTTTCCGTGACGGAGCCTCACACTGACGACCGAGCTTTAAACCCCTCCCTTGGGACCAACCCCCGCAGCGTAGACAGAGGATCTGCTCCTTGGACGAGAACCGACACGACTCCGAGAACGCACCATTCTTCGAGCGGGGTCCAGCCATGGCGACAAGCTTGTGTCCCATGGAGTCACGGAGCAGACCACGGAGGAACGGCGGCAGCCCACGACATCCGTCCATGGGGACATTGTCACGGCTGCCTTCAGCCACTCTGAAACAGTTCCGACATTGAAGTCCGAGCTCGCCTTTGTGCCAATCATGCCACGACACTTGTCGTCGAGACCGAGCAGCACCAAATCTGTGGGGCCTTGCCCACCGTGCATCATTATCAAAACATGGGAGCACCTGTGCCGCAAGCTTAATGAAATGCCCTGCTCTCTCACCAGCAAGGCTTAACTCTTGGACAAATTCGGGCATCGGTGCTGGGTGCAACTGCAGGCCTTGTTTTGCATATCGGTCGACAGCAGCGTTCGCGAGCGCAAAAATCTTTTCTTCGCCCTCCAGGCCCTGAATCTCTGCGTCATCGCGATGGGCCTTGACGTGCCGAACAGTATGAATCAGATGGGTGCCTTCGAGCTCGTGCGCAAAGGCCCGCGCTCCAGCGAACTGGCTGGAAAGGGCAAGCTGGTCATTCACATTTTTCTGACAAGCTCGAATGGCTGCCTGACAATCCGCACCCAGCACTGTGGGTCGCGTAGCAATCTGGCCGCAGACAGCAATACCACAGTGCTCAGCCATTGCAGGCGTCTGCGGCAGAACTCCTGGAACTATTCCTTTGACAATCGCCACGGGGTCTTCACCCTCGTCGGGACATAGAGCGATCGCCCAGGCCGCGCGCTGCAAGGGTCTGATCCAAGGCTTGGTGCTCGAACCATCTGACGCAAGGCGCAGCGGAGCTTGGGTGGTGAGGCTGGCGATTGACTCGGGAGTCATGTCCAGATCATTGCCTTGCCCGTCGTAGATATAAACCTCAGACGACATCGACGGGCAAGGCAACGCGCTGTCTTCATACACGTGAACCCCTCGAGTAAAGATGGGGTTGTCGGGATCATCGCAAGCCGCGTTGAGGACTGAATCAGGCACCTCAGACGCCGCCCGCGCATCAACAACTCGCGTGAGCTGACAGGTATACAACCTATGGTGGACTGTGTCACGTTCTCCACACTCACACAACCCGTCACACAAGTACCCCGAACGCATGGCACGATCATTAGTCCACAGTCCACCGCAGCCACAGCTCTTAATTAGGTACTTCTGGAGCCGAGTGAGTTTTCGGGCCTTGGGTCCGACTTCGTCCCGAATCAGGTCCAGGGTGGCCCTAGTCCCTGGAGGGAAACCGAGCTTTCGAGAAAAATCAGATTCCCGCTCTCTCTGCAGTCCAGCTTCCAGCTGAACGGCCGACAGAGCAGGGGGCGTGGCAGACAGGTCTACTCTGAGGCCGTTGTGGTCTATCCAGAAACATGGGCCTTCAGCCCTCCAGCCAGCGCGCTTTAAACTGAGAGCCGCTCTAGAGATGGGCCCCTGGGATCTGTTCCAAGTTGGGCACTCCAGATGCTGACGCAAATCCCAAAGCTTCAGAAGCTCAGCGCGTGAGACCAGCGAGAGATCGGGACGCCGCGAAGCGGTCCACATCATACGGCACCATTGTATAGCAGGAGCGATAGCGTAGCGAGCACTACCATCCCCTAGAAGAGCGACTTTAGCCGTGAGTGGGACGCCCCCGTGAGAAGGCCCCTCGCTGCGGGCCATCATTCTCCTAAGGCTCAGCCACTCCGAGGCCGTGAGACCCAAGACCTCCGCCCCAAAACCACAGGCAGGAGCAACGCCTTCCTTGTTTGGACACCTTCTTAAACGGGGCCTCCTTGGGTCCCTTGAAACGCCTTCGGAGGGCTCGCACCTTGCGAATTTGCATTTTTCATCATAGCAATGCGGCCTTTCTGTTTCAGACGAGCTCGCTGTGCATACCGTCGAGCGCCAGCAGATTCGTCGATGCCAAGATACGCGACACTCGCCTTGCAAACAGATAGTGGCAGCTGCAGAGCCATGCAAACATCTCGAGCGAGCTCCTGAGAAGTGGAAACAATGGACAGCTTGCCTGGGTGCAGCTCCGCATTCAACTTCGAACTGGCCGCCTGGAACTGCTTCATCCCCGCAACTGCCGCTGACTTAGCTATTACAGAATCACTCGAGGCAACATGTAGACCAGTGTCATCGATGTAGTTCTGGAAGTCCACGAACGGCGCCAGCTCGACGAACGTGTCGAAGGCGTCGACGGGATTGACCTTGATCGCCAGGTCGCTTTAGCCGTCGCCTGCAGGCAGCCCATGAGTGGCCACCAAGGCCGTCTGAGCGTGGTGGCGCCCAAGTCGGATGACTCGTGGGCACGACCACATGTTGACAACCAGCTTTAGCCAACTATGAGGGGCTCCGTGGCGCTGAAACTTGCGTCGCAACTCAAGTGGAGGAATCGATTCGTAGTATTTGACCCAGTCAACTGTGATGAGAACGCCATACTTGTGAGCAGCTTGGTTGCTCTCTGATCGAGCCGCCTGCAACCGTGCACAGTCAGTGGCCGATCTCCCACGGCTGGCACCCCAGTATCTTCTGTCGAGGGCATCATGCATGTGCGCAACCATGGGCTTGCGTGCTCTCTGCCACATACGGTAGATGGCGGCATACAATATTATCAAACGATTGCCTCCAGACGGCTTGCCCAGCATCGGCATCTGGATCCAGCACAGCTGCTTGGGCAGCGTGCCTATGGCTTCAGACGCCGAGAGCAGCAGCGCCAAAGTGTGGAGGCCGTCGTCGTCGAGGGGCAGGAAGTGCCTCGGGTGAAAGTTATCATAGCTGGTGGCCGTCCCAGCTGGGAAAGACAGGGCAGCACGGCGCAGGTCAGCTGGCTCCAGGAGCGGGCACATCGACCGATCTGGTACCCAATGAGGGAGAGCAACATCGGAAGCGTGCCACAGACGACGATGCAGTTCCACTTCCTGCGCAACAATAACAACAAGGTCACCTGACTGAATACCAACTGCCACAGCTGGCGTCGGAATGGCCTTGGCCTTGGTAAGTCGATGCAGGGGGCGGGCGCCGCCGCAGGATGCTGCGCTGCACCAGTCGGCCCATGCAGCATTGGAATATTTAGTCTGACCTTTGACTGCCAGGGTGACATCATCAGCAATACCATCGATGAACGATTGAATCTGGTCCATGTCCATGGGGATAGCATTGATGAGGTTTCGCGCCTGCACGACCGTGGCGTCTAGGCGAGCGTTGAGGCCCTGTCCTGGGTACGGTCACGTCACAAACAGGGCGGTCTCCTCAGAGCATTGCACCATGGAATCATATTTCACATATAACGCTTGGATCGTGGTGACCATGTTCTGCAACCACTGCCAGCCTTGACCAATACTCTGCATATCGTTCGGATCCTTAGTCGGGTATGTCACATTGACCCATCGGGGCTCGAGATTTCTGGCACATGCACCAGACTCACGAAGCTCCACTCCAACATTCTGCGCAATGTACTCAGCGAAAGAAACAGCAAATCTCCCATACACGCGTGTGAGGAGTGCCCAGACCACCGCCACGTCACTGCTAGGGTCGGCCGCAAGCTCGACGGTGCGCTCAGCAAGGGCTCGATGCAGCGTCCAGTCAATGGGCCTCGTGCGCGGCCCTGGCGGCGGGGTGATAGGCAACTTGGAAGAGACAGAGTACACATAGTGCTGCACGTCCACCCCGTTGTCGACTAGCTGCAGCTGCACAGGGCGATGAGCCTTTTTGTGCCAGGTCATGACCGAGTTGACTCCCCGATAGCCGCGAACAGCAGCATCATTAAGGCAGAAGAAGTCGATAGTGCTCGCGCCCGTGCCTCCTCGGAACGTCACCTGAGCAGGGAAGGCCAGCACCATGTCCACCTGCTGCGGGAAAAGGCATTGCTCCAGATCGATCGGTGACATGTTCCAGTCGCCGCCCATGATGGCAGGCCCAGAACATGTCGCAAGCGCGCGGCCTGCAGCAGCTAATATCTCAGCGTTGATACCGACAGCCCCAAGGGAATCTTGCATATACACATTGAAGATCGTGATGGGGGGCCAGCCTCTGATGTCGACAATGACCTGCTGAAGGCGGTGGTCCCACACCATCTGCCCTTGAGGTGGATGCCGAAGGCCCAGTGCATCTCGAACAAACACTGCAACTCCACCTGGGGGAACGCTTCCTGACGTACGACGGGCAGGTATGGCAGAGCATTTCCACTGTCGGTTCTGAGCCCAGGAGTAGAGATCATCCAA